TACCTTCTGCAGAATAGGCTGGGGCCACACTCCAGGCCCATGACTAAGAGACAAGGTCCCTGGCCTCCACGAGCTTATAGAACAAGAATAATAACAATAGGACTCTACTCAACTTAGTGATGTGTCAAAGGAACAGTTATAACCTCTAGATTAAAGTGTCACATGTGCCATGTTAGGATGTTTATAATTGACTTTTGAAAAGAATTTAAGATAGAAACTGTGATATAAAATGCGTGAGGTGTTTGTTTTTTTAACCCTCACCTGAGGACATGCTTAGAGAGAGGACGCCATGTTAGGATGTCTATAATTGACTTTTGAAAAGAATTGAAGATAGAAACCGTGATATAGAATGCGTGAGGTGTTTGTTTTTTCAACCCTCACCTGAGGACATGCTTAGAGAGAGGAAGGGCAGGGCTGGTGGAGGGCGAGGGACGGGGGGAGAGAGAGAAAGAGAGAAACATTGATATGAGAGAGAAACACTGATGGGTTGCCTCCTGTATGCACCCCGACTAGGGATCCAAACTGCAACCTAGGTATGGGCCCTGACAGGGACTCAAACCCACAACCTTTTGGCGTACGGGACAACGCTCCAACCAACTGAGCCATCCAGCCAGGAAACATGTTATTTTAAGCTGTAACCCTAAGAAGAGTCTCTCTTTGCTAGTTTTTAATCAGAAATTCTACCTTACAAAAATTACTGGTTAAGTTTTAGCTATCTTTCTTTTATCTTTAGTCATAAGCAGAGGCTTTGCAAATTAGCATAATAAATGACAAAAATAAGTTTTCATTTGTGAAAGTAGTACTTAACTACTAACCACAAGTGATTAAATAATAACATAAAAGACAGTAGAAATGGAATCTCATTAGTGAAATCAGTGGCAGTAAAGGTAAGCAAATTGGCTAAAATATTTTCCAAAATAAGGTAAAGAACCTTGCAACAGTACACTGGCCAAGACCAGTGCTTCTCAAACTATCTATAGTGATGGAAGGATTTTTATTTGCAACCAATAATTTTTTGGGGTAAAATACAATGAAATAACTTACAGGACACTGCAGTAATGTTAAACTGCCTTAAGAGTTTCTAAAATATTTGCTCTCAATTTTTATACTTGTCACAGACCAGCCATCAGTAGTTAATACCTGCACTAGTCCACAGACCACGGGTTGGGTCACACTGGCTTGAACCATGGATACAAAGGCAGAGAAGCATAGAACAGACTCAAATTACAGTGGGAAGGCTGGAGAGTGTTGAGGGGGTGGGGGGGTAAGAGATCAACCGAAGGACTTGTATGCATGCATATAAGCATAACGAATGGACACAAGACACTGGGGAGGTGGGGTGAGGGCATGTGCCAGGCGGGTAGTGGAGGCCTGGGGAAGGTCGATGGGGGGAAAAAGGAGACATATGTACTACTATTTTTAATACTTTTAAACAATAAAATTAAATTAAAAAAATAATAATATTATTGTGGCTTAGTCCCTCCCCTCCCCTCACTCTAAGCCTTGTGTAGAGGATTTTGGTTGCCTAAAGCTGACAGTTTTGTATCATCTGGTTAAAGTGAACCTTTCATGCAAGGTTTGATTTAACCACCTACACAAGAGAGAATTAGGACTTCACTAAGCTTACAAGCACAGCTGGACGGTGCCACCTTGTTTAATAAATTCTTATTGCAGATTTTGGACTGGGACTTGCTTTCATTATAATCTGACAGCTGGGCTATAGGGAAGCAACTAATTCTCATTGGTAGCTATTATTCTCTATTAAAAAAAAAAAAAAAACCTAAGAGCTATGCATGGCAAAATTGGCTTAGGTTAATTTGCAAAGTATTATTAAGCCATAATTTTAAAATAAGTGAATGACTATAAAGTGTGCTGAATTACTTTTGGAAGATGTTTTATCTGGAGATAGTGCCTGTTAGCAAGAGGTGTCATGATGTCTAACAGCTGTCTGTGGGGATGGCACTGGGGCTGGAGAAGCTATTCTCAGGAGGAGCAGATTCAGCACAGGACCATGGCTTATATAATCATGATGTGTGAACAACAGTATAGCATGAGCTGAAAAAATATGAGTATCTTTTTCTTGACACCATGCAAAGATATTAAGGACTCAAGAGTCATTACTGAATATAGTAATATAGAGCCATGCCAAAGAGATTATAATATAAAACATCCCACATTTTATCTACTCAAAGTGTTAAAAAAATTCACTTTAGTATAAGGATGATCCCACATATATTCAAACTTCGAGCAGGATCTCTTTGGATCCTTATTTCAAGCTTTTTAAGAGCACTTTTAGTTAAATATCTTTAAAGTTGTTTTTATAGAACATACTTCTCTGAAAAGCTGTAATTTAAGAGTAACATAAAAGATAGCATGTGAGGCTTCTACTTCCCACTGTGTGCTGGTAACGGCAGAGAGCTTTCCACTGTGGTGCTGCCACTGCAGCTCCGAGAGGCGCAGTGAGGGACACCTGTGCCTCAAAGCCCTGAAATTCAGAGGGCAGAGGAGTCACCGCCTGGAAAGGGTGCCATGCTCAGACTCAACTGCACTGCCCTGTATATGGAATAAGTGAGCTCCGAATCTCCTCACACAGGAGCTGCAACTGACCCTGAGTTCATAGTCGCCTGTTTTGGATTATTCCAGTCAATGTTAGTTACTTATTGATTCAGGAAATGTTTATCTTTGTATATATCATAATATCTAACACAATGTCTGGTAACATGGTAAGCACATAATAATTATATTTTCACATGCATTATGATTATATGTAGTTAATAACTATTTCATATTTAATCATTAGAACCAGAAAGATAACAAAAAGCTATTAGTAATAATTATATTCCTCTAAAAACACTGATGTAAAATAAATTTACATTCTTCTTTGTTCATTTGTTCATTTATTCATTCATTCATTCATTAATTCATTCAAATATTTAGCACCTATGTATCTAGCACTAGAATAGGGACTGATAAATTCTGGACATTACAGAAAGAAAGTGAAAACAAATAAGTTAGTTTGTTTTCCAAGAGCTAATAAGATATTATTAGGGGGCTGGGGTAAATGTAAAAATGATAGTAAGCTTTAGGTACATAATCTCAAAGAAAATTAGATTCCCCTTAAAGGTCCCCAAAAACCATTATTTTATGTCTGACAGATAGAAAATAACAAGACAAGATAAATTTTAAAAGAAAAAGTATTGATAAAGTATTACAGTGTTAAACACTATTTTCTAAAATGTGTTTAGCCCAGGGGAGGATTACCCTTCAAACTGGACATAATATGATAGTAGCATCTAAATAATGACATAACTTATATCAGAACTGCTAAGCAGCACTCAACTCTTGGTTTGGAAGAACAAAAAACTGTCAAGGTATTGTCAAAAATGATGACTTTAGTAGTGACAGAGAAGGCATAATAAAGCACCGATTTTCTTTATGGCCCAGTATCTGATTTTTTTACTATGTGTCCCCTACATTACCTTCTGTCTCCACACTCCAGTCTCAGTACCAGAAAAAATTAGCAATTACATACATGGGACACCCTGACAAAACTGAGCTTTTTTCAGCCTCAGCTCACCTCTTTTGTGTATGTGTTGCCTCCCTGCTGTCCTGACCACAGCACTTGGTTGGTACTTCTCTATGTAAATAACCACAAGTACTCGCCGAGAGAGAAACATCGATCCGGTGCCTCCTGTCCATGCCCGAACCGGGGACTGGGGATCAAACCTGCAACCTTTTGGTGTACAGGAGGATGCTCCAACCAACTGAGCCACCTGGTTAGGGCACAAAGCCCCATGTTCTAAATCATTCCGAAAACTTGATGCTATTCTTGCTTTCCATTCCCACAACCAACATTCAGGCTCTCACTTCCTCCTGGCTGGGGCACTAAGGGCCTCCTAAGTGCTCTCTATGTATCCAGCAATCTCCCAGCCCCAATCTCCATTACAACCTTGCCCCAGAATACCCTCCCTAATGCCTCGCTATGATTATTCTCACCTCTGCGCCAGACTTCAGGGGCTCTCCTTTCCCTTTATCACTCAATTAAGTGTAATTAGATTCTTCACACAAAAGGTAATTTATCACTCTTTTCCTTACACACACTGAAAACTCCAGACAAACTGAACAAAATTATCTACTTCATAAACAATTACATGGTCCACTCCTATGCCTCTGTTGATTCTTTTCCCGACCTACAATTTTCTATCATATTACCCTAACCCTTGGAGCCTCACAGGCTAAAAGAGATTAAGGTTGCAAATATTAAGGTTGCAAATCAACTGACATTAAAATAGGGAGAGTATCCTGTATCATTCAGGGGTCCCCAATGAATCACAATATAATCACTTAAAAGTGGGAGAGTCAGAATCAGAGGAAATGTGACTATGGAAGATACAAAGAAATACAATGCGCTGGCTTTGAAGATGGAAGGAGGAGACCATAAGCAAAAAATGTGCATAGCCTATAGATGCTGAACAAAGCAAGTAAACGGATTTCTCTCCAAGAACCTTGGCTTTAGCAGAGTAAGACGTGTGTTAGACTTCTGACCTCCAGAACTCTAAGAGTAACATATTTCAAATATGTATTTCAGATAGTTAATAATCAAAGAATGCTTAGTACCTTGGGTAATATTTACTATAACCCTACAGACAAAACAATCTACAATGATGAGCATGTTAACCATTCTCCACAATAAAATGCTCTCTTTAAAAAGATTTTAACCAAGGGCATAGCTGTAAAATGAAATCCATGTTTATTACCAAAACCGAGAAGTTAGAATAATATTAATCAAAGATATAAAAGCTTGCTGCAAATGTAAGTATAATTTGCATACAGGGAGCATATTAGAGGGCACTATAATCACGTGCTTCACAGCTTTTTCATTTTCTTTTCTCATGAAAATGTACAACTACTTTTCTATATCGCATGTCCAAGAAAAAAAATCACACCGGAATTCATGAAATATATTGAATATTTTATGAGGAAGTTGGAGAGCAGCTTACCCAGTATTGATGGAAATGATTTCTATCAGTGGATTCTTTCTAATCTTCGGCAAATCCAACGGTGCTCCCCCCAACCGTTTCCCATTATCCTTCTTCTGACCCAGCAGTCTCACAGAGTGACCTTCAAATAAAGCACACAGACCTGCATTAGCATGAGTCACACAATTTCACTTTAATTTACTGCTCTCAACAAATGTGTTAATATTTTCATTTAACTTTTTCTTTTGTGAGAAAAAAAAAAAGAAAGAAAGAAAACCTAGAGATGTGATCGTTGAACCTAAGAAATACTGCCAAAGGGAAAAACAGCTGTGCTCATGTCCTACAGTGGAAAGTGCTTTGCTTATAATATTGGCACATTTTACTGCACAGATGAGGGAAACAGAAATATCTTCAGAATGTCTTTCCACAGGTATGAATGCTCACTAGCATAGACCAAATACTTATATGAAGCAGGAAGGGTTCACTTGAACACTAGGCCTGCTGGCCAAGTTTGCACTGTGTGGGGGTAGGAAGTGGGGAGAGAAAGCAAATGCAGATTATCTGGTCAAAGCAATTAGCAAATCAAAGAAGTAAAGAATAAACAAACTGATTTTTTTAAAAACCCACTTTAGAACTGAGTTTTTTAAAACAAATGTTTTTTAACATTTTTTAAAAACAATACAAAAGAAAATTAGACCATTTATAAGACCATTAAAATTTCAATAATTTTGAACTTTGAATTAATTATAAGTTGTAGAAAAGAGGAAACAGTACAAAGAATTCTGTCCCCTCAGATTCCCTAATTATTTTGTGTTTACATTGTCATTTGCTCATTATATACATACATATTATTTTATAAGATACATCCTATAAAATTTAACCACTGTAAATAAACAATTCAGTTATCTACACTAACAAAAGAGAAACATGGTAATTGGCGTACGAGCTACCCTTCCCATTGGCTAATCAGCATATCCTTATGCAAATTAACTGTCAGCCAAGATGGCGGCCAGCAGCCAGGCAGCTGGAAGCAAGCAGGGAGGCTCGCTTGCTCCAGTGACTGCAGACTCCAAA